AAACTCTCAAAATCAGGCCCAAAACAGTGCCAAAATGGTACTCAAACGGTGTCAAGATTATGTCAAAATTAGCCGACAAAATGCCCCAAACAACACTTAACTATGTTCCAAATAATACCAAATAGCTATCACAACACTCCAAAAGCTCTCACAATATTTTTAACACATCCAAATAGTAATTTACAACACTTGTAGACTACCTACAAAATTTCAGCATCCAAACAACTCTCACAACTCTCCAAAAGATTTCATAGCACTCTAAGAGCTCTCACAGGATTGTTAACACCTCCAAATGGTAATTTACAACACTTGTAAGCTACCTACAACAGCCCAAACCACAATTTCAGCATCCAAACAACTCTCACAACTCTCTAAAAGATTTCATAGCACACTAAGAGCTCTCACAGCATTTTTAACACCTCCAAATGGTAATTTACAGCACTTGCAACATCCAAATATCAATTTTAAGCAACTTACGGCTCTTTTCAGGACCCGACCGCACTCCTACAGCTCTCCCGAGCCCAAACAGCAGCGGTCTACAGCCGCGTTCTACAGCAGCTAACAGCTTCCCACAGCACTTACAGCAGCTGACAGCTTCCCAAAACCTAAACAACAGCTTTCTATAGCAGCTAACAGCTTCTCACTACACTTACAGCAGCTTTCTGTAGCAGCTAACAGCTTCCCATAGTGGATAACAGCTCCCCCAAACAGCCATCTACAACAATTGACAACATTTATATATGTAACACTAAAATTTACTTTTCACGTTTATTCCACCCAAGTCTTTTGTACCACAACTGAAAGCTATCCCATTATCTTTGCAAAGGCAGAACATGCGCATTCATACATTACATAGATTAGTGAGATGCCATGAACAAAAGAAAAAAAAATTGAAGTTTCGGTGCTATGTATGTAAATACACAAGGATTATTTGCCCAAAGAAAACTTCATTAATTTGAGGTTCAACTCCTGATACGGAGCAGTTAAGTGTGAATTGACATTCATAACAGGAAACATTTTAAAAGCCAAGAAATTGCAAAGAATTCAACACAGCATCACCAAAAAGGCATATCATCTTTGATTCAGTTCTGCAGCCACATGAGGTTAAGGATCTGACACTATTGAACAAAACCAATCCATACGAGCACATTACATATTATTAAATTATGATCCATAAACAAGCCAAATTATCAATTGTAAGATCTATGATGCTAACAGTCAAAGTGAGGTAAATCTCCACACTACGAATTTATTTGAAGTCACAATAGAGCAACAAAGGAAAATTAAATTAGAATACAAATCATATTCTCAGATCTGAGAAACTGGAAATTAGAGATAACTTCAGATCTAAGAAACCGGAAATTAGAGATAACTAAACCCAAGCAGGTGAGGTAAATCTCGACGTGATTATTTTATCCAAAATCATGGGTTCGTATACATCTCGCAGGCAAAATCAAATCCAAATGTCATCGAGCAATAAGCCACCATAATCGGATATCGAAAACAGTATAGGAATGGTAGTAGATGCAGAGTGAGTGCCAACTACAACCTTAAATCTAAGGTTAAAATCTTCCTCTAGAAGCTGCGAAAGGTAAAATGCGGAGAGAAAAATGCTTACCGACTAATGGTTATACGATCTAGAGAGAGGACCCAGAAGACACTATATTCAACCGAGAGAGCTGGGGTTGGCAAATGAGAGAACCGAGCGAGAGAGGCACCAGGTCTTCGGGTATGGAGTTGAGGAGGGCCGAGTCGATCGGAGCAGGCAGAGCCGAGCGGCTAGGGCTGCGGTCGAGCGAGGAAGAGGGGATTGGGGGGGAATTGGGTTCGGTCGCAAGGAAGGGGGTTTCGGCTGTGAGGAGAGGAGTTTGGCGCGAGGGTTTGGTCGTGGTAAGTTGGCGAAGTTTTGGTGACGGGAGGCGAAGCAGGTGAATGTGGGAGAGGAGTGCGGGGGTTCTGGTCGCAGAGAGGAGGAGAGAGGTGGTCCGATGTAGAGGAGAGATCGAATCTAGAGAGCGGGGGTGAGCGAGGGATTGATCGAATGAATCCTTCTGTCAATGCCAATTACTATAGCCAGCCAAAGATTAGAGAGGGAGTCGTTACGTGAAAGCTTTGGCGGGGAATTGAATACCTTCCTTTAGTGTATGCGACTCAATTGGAAAATAATAACACGGGATTATTTTCAATTAATACGAGTTTTAAATATTCTGTTTGAATTTTGAAATTTGAAATTCGTGGGCTGAAATAATTAGTCCGTGCTTAGCCCATATCTAGCCCAAGTCAAACTCGAGTTGAACCTGGGTTGAGCCCGAACCCACACCCACTAAAAAAAACATGCATTGATTTTTTGTGCGATCTACTCGTGCGCGGAATCATAGTGATATGGGTGTTCTTTCTGGCTAAATTCGACGTTCCAGACGCGCCGGCGTGGTCCGTTTCGTCATCCGGGGTCGTCCAGACAAGTTTGTCGATGGTCTGGTAAAAAGTGTGTCAACTTCATACGTGGTGTAGCGAGTGCGTTGCTGAGTCATAGAGGGTTCACCTAAGGTCGTCTGATCCTGTAGGAACTCATTTTTGGCCCTTCTACATGTTGGTCCTTAGCCCTTGCATTTAGAAGGTGCTTGGAACCGCTCATGTGAGTTTTTCACAAAAAATGAGTCAAGAAGTGGTTTGAAGTTCTACGGGAGGTGGGCTCCATTTCTAGTATGCTAAGATTGTCAACAAGGAAATCCTAAGGCTAGATTTTGGGTTATGGGAGTAGGAAACTAAGACTTCACTAAAAAAGAGGTCAACACTAATTTATGGGAACATCGTCTGATGATGAAACGGGTTTATATGTTTCTTAATCACGTTCCATGTTGTAGGAGTCTACTCCCTTCCGGACCAATGATATGACAATTAAGCCCTTTCCTGATGTTCATAACTAATTTTTGTGACTTCTTTCTCTGGTGAACGTCTTAAGTGATGTAAATAAAGTAGGTCTTGGATGATTTATCACTTATTTACTACATGTGAATCTGCTTTAATCCTGCTTTGATTTTTGCTGTATTCGTTTTTCCTTCGTTTCTGGAAATGATTTATCGAATAAATATGATGATTTGAAGTAGATTCAGAAGCTGCACTATTTTTTCAGTAATTTAATCATGTTCGCTGAAGTTGGATTAAATAAATAGGAATTGAGTGCCATGTATTTTAACATATTTTTTATTCAGCTACCTGAAAATTCTGTAATCCATCATCAGACATCCTAGGACTTGCATCCTTTCATAGGCGAAGATGATGACAGGTTTACTGTTCTTTTAGGACTAGAGTATTTACAGTACACATCATTAAGGATGCATATGACTACTTCATTCATTAAATTTACCTCAAGTAGTTGTAGTGGCGTTGTCATATTTGATATTATGTTATTTAATCACCTTATGTCTTTGGTTTAGATGGCGCTTTTTGTGTATTGTGCAATTTGTTAAAATTTAGTTCTTCTTTAGTTGCTGTATAACCTTTTTGTTTGACGTATGATTTATCTCAATGGCTCTAGACCTTTATGTTGTCCATTTTAATTTCTGATTTTTTAAACGTTCAATTTCGTTTTTTAACTCGTTAAAGAAATTTTCAGTAGGGCATTTGAATTGTGGAAGTGCCTGTTATATTGGGGTTTTATGCTGTCTGCACATCTTGATCCAAGTATTGTCCCCAAACATAGATTAGAAAATTTTACAAGTGTATTATTGTCATCGAACATTTTTCAATGTCATCGGACATTTTTCAATCAAGATAAAGTTTCAAAATCATCCCTGACTGTTTACATGAGACCTTTTTAGTCTTGGAGTTTATAAAGTGTCAAATTAGTCTCAAAACTCATTTTAAATGAGTATGTGGACTAAATTAGCACTTTTATAGAATTTGGGACTAAAATAACCTCATGCAAAGAGTCGTGATAATGTTGACACTTATCTCTTTACATGTGGTAGAACTAAAACTAAATACATGGAATGTAATTTTAGTAGTAGTAGCTCTAGTGACAAAAGTGTAACTTTAGGTGATAGGTGATCAAATTATCTTTAGGTGATCAAATTATTGAAAGGTGTGAATGATTTAGATATATCGAGCCTGTTGTTCAAAACGATGGTGATATAGATGGGGATGTTAATAGTAGAATTCAAGTTGGTTGGTTGAAGTGGAGGAATGCTTCGGGACTTTTGTGTGATAGAAAAGTACTGCTTAGATTGGAAGAAAAATTTTATAAGATGGTGGTGAGACCTGCAATGCTCTATGGCGTTGAATGTTGGCCTTTAAAAGAGAAGCATAATACTAAGTTGAGTGTTGTCGAGATGAGAATGTATAGGTGGATGAGTGGATTTACACATAGAGACAAATTGCGAAATGAATGTATTTGTGATTGGGTTGGTATTGCTCCAGTGATAAACAAAATTAGAGAAAGTCGTCTTAGATGGTTTGGTCACATTAAACGTCGACCATTTGATGATCTGATGAGGAGAGTAAGGAGAGTAGATGTTTTAGATTTTAAGAA